CCCCATGTCTAGACCCGGTGGACCATCAGCCAGCCAGCTTATTTCATTCAAGGCCAGTGTACATTTAAAATCTCAGCTCTCTGGGACAATCGTGTGTGAGACTGGCTGGAGTACAGCAGCGCTGTGTGCGAGCTGGAGCTGTGCTCCACTCCATAAAAGGGAAGCAGCTCCACAGTAAGACAATCGCTCTGAATTCCCATCCCTTTTCTTGAGTAGATAAAACCCTGCAGCATTCTGCAAAAGGAGGGATTTCCCTATGTTTTCGCTCTGCTGCTTAACCATGGGCACCATAATGGTTGAGGGAAAAGGAAAAAAAAAGAGTTTGGCAAAAACATAGGTTGTTTTCCTAAGGTTCCTGCCCAGCAATGATCACAATGAAAGGGTCATTGGGATCCCCTCTTTTGCTGCCTGCTTTTGCCCAGAAGTTGTGCCCACGTACAGAGGTGGCCAGAGGGAGGAAGTGATGAAGATGCCAGGGGGGAACAATCTAAGTGAGACTTCTGGCACTGCCTTTCACACTGAGCCAGGACCAACTTTAATCAAAGACAGGTGCTTTGGATGAGGTCAGGGAAATAGGATTTTCTTTTGGTGGCACTAAGTGGTGCAGCCCAACTTAGGCTCAAGTGGCATGTGTCCTTATTGACACAGGGCCTGTAGCAGCAGGGACATCTGTTTTCAGCAGTTGTGTTGAAGATGTGGCATCTACTTTCTTGCTTGGAGGACTTTTACTCTTCAGGGCTGTTTGGTGATGTGGAATCTCTGTGTCCTGGTGTCCCTCTGGCCTAGCTAATCTGAAAGCTACCTAGCTGTCACTGAGTGGTAAGGCTTCACTGTTGAATGTGTGGGATATGTAGCCATGCAATTGCTGGGACTGACCCTAGGAAGGCTCAAGGCTCAAGGGGCAGTAGGCAGGGAGAGGAGGCTGGGATTATTAATTTCAATGGGCGTTTGGTTTTATATAATCTTAAAATGACTGTGGAACAGTATGTCAAGTGTTTTGTCAGGGTGGACCTGCATGAGCTGGGACATGAATGAATATATAAATAACATTGAAGAGCTACTTCAGCCTGTCACAGACCTGAAAAAAAGAAAACATTGTTTTGAAGATGCTTAAATAAGCTGTCTGGTCTGTCACACTTCATACATATTGCACGTTAACAGGAAGGTGAGTTTTGACACTGAAGGAAACTGCTTTAGCCCTTCCCTTTGTTTTAGCAAACGTGCTTGAATTGGAGCCCATGTGACTTGGCAGAGGTTTACAGTTAATAGACACAAGAGTTCTTTTGCACATTCCCAAATAGAATAGATTTCTTTTTTTATGTAATTACATCTGCATGAGGACTTGTGCCAGCAGACATGTCCTTGCTAGGACAGTAAGTTGTGATAAAAATGGAAAAAATGAAGAAAAGAAAAAACAAGTCTAGAATGAGCCTGAGAAGATGACACAGTTTTTATTGCTCTTCTTCCTTTCCCAGTGCTCTTCTTTCAATATACTCAGCTGCAAAATGTTGTCAGAAACCCCCGTGATGCTCAGTGCGTGGGTGAGGGCACGATTAGAGTGCAGAAGAGAAAATTCACTTTTTAAAATAGTATTCCCTCACAGAGTTTCCTTCACACTGAAAGACCTGCACCTCGCGTAAGACGAGATGCTGGTCTTAGCCTAGGATGGTTTCTCATGGGGATCATCCCTGGGCTCCTTCACCATCTAAAGAGAACTTTTCGCCATAATCCACCCCAATAATGAGGAACATACACAGAAAATAAGGACTTCATCTAAGGAGCTCAGATGTCAATTTGATTTTAAAAATGAAATGTAGTTAGAATAAGAAACAATATTTCCTAGGGAGTTTCCTTACAGCAGTATGGTGTTATCTGTTTTGTCCCTGCTAACACTCTCACAAGCACCCCTTTGGTGACAGTGCAGGTCTGCCCTTCCACCAATAACTACAGAGACCTTCCCTAGCAAAAGTGAGCAAGTAGGAATGGGAGCAGGATGGGAGAGGAGCCTCTTTTCTGAGCGCCTACCAGGGATTGAAAGGCTTGCAGCGCCATTAGCGTACCTGCCCCGACGTGAGCACATCTGCTGAGTCACCAAGTAGGATCCAGGAGCCTGCTTGGAGTGAATCTTAGCTAGTGGGGATCTCAAGACGTGCAGGGTACCTGTGACCTTCACTGGGTAATCCTGCAAGCTGGTGGAGGGCTCACCATCCTGCCTGCTGTAGGTTTTCACCCAACCCCTCAGCTGCCTCAGCCTCTTCATTCTTGGCCTGTGCAGCACTTGTGCTAGGGGCTGGAAGGGGCACAGCAGGTGTTTTGCAACTACCTTGCCCAAAAATGGTCCCTCTGCTCCACCCTTTCCCATCTAGCTACATCCTCTTGAAATGGGCAGAAGCCAGACCCATGCAAAATCTGCCCTGAAGGCACTTTATAGGAGCAGATGACCAGCAAGGGGAAGGAAGGATGTTTTATTGCCTC